TGTAGAATTGGTAGAGATGTATGGGTGTTGGTGGACACTTGGAAATGTTCAGGAAACCGGATGGACATTATAGATGAGATATCATTGTCACTTATGTTTCCATGAAAAAACTTTATTATAATTGTAATCCAAATCTTGGCGAAACTTGCCAAGTTTTGTTTTAATTAACTTGTCTTCTTTGTATTTTGTGACTTTTTTAAGGGTAATAAACCATCTCTTTGGTAGTGATGTGGCCATGTCCATAATCTTTTGGGCTACTATTTGAATTTGGTGTACAAGCTGGTCGTATTTAACACTTTTTTGGTCTATAAGGATTTGTATCCATTTTGTGGTACAGAACTCTGAAATGGAGAGCTATTCTTTAGTGTGGTCAGTATCTAGAAAGGTACACTCTTTTAGGATTCTAATGCAGGCCATAGACAGATCGAACATCGGCCGATTTAAAAAAAACAAAACAAAACAAAAAACCTAAAAATCGGCCGTTACCACCAACGCTAAAAAAAAAATCGGCCGACTAAAGCATAAAGTTCACCCCAAAACTTCTGTCCCTTGCAGGTCATGGCTCATGTGTGGATTTTTTATCGGTAAAACGATCGGCCGATTTGCCCATCATTGCCGGGAAAATCGTCCGATCAGCCGCGAATTTTCCAACATGACCGATTAAAAAAACTGCAAAAAGCCCGAAAAACGGCCTACCGATTAACCCACTAACGGTGCGAAAATCGGCCGGTTTTTATTATAGCTTGGGTGTAAAAACTTCCCCATAGGAGTGAACAGTGTGTTGTGGAATATGGAAAAAAAAATTTCTAGAGCAGAGTATTTAAGTGATTCAATATCCATAATTATTTCCATAACAGAATAAAATAAGAAAACAAAAAAACAAAGGAGAAGATGCAATAACGTTATTATATAGGGAAACTACAATGATGTAATTTGTGGATGTAAATAAAAGCATATAAATAAGAACCATAAAAGGTCAAAGTCCATATATTCTATATATTAGAATAGTCCATATGTACAGTTGTGACCAAAATTATTCAACCCCCACTGAAATTGAGTGTTTTGGCCAGTTTGACATTGCTTTTGATCATTCAGTCATCTTGCTTACATTTACATTAAAGAGGCACTTGTAGGTCAGACAAATATAACATAACAGTTATAATGAAATAACCACAAATGTCTTTTCTGTGCTCACAGCATTATCAGTTTTATTCAACCCCCAAGTGACATTCAATCTTAGTACTTAGTACAGCATCCTTTTACAGTTATAACAGCTTTTAAACGTGAAGCATAGCTTGACACAAGTGTCTTGCAGCGATCTACGGGTATCTTCGCCCATTCTTCATGGGCAAAGGCCTCCAGTTCAGTCACATTCTTAGGCTTGCGCACTGCAACTGCTTTCTTTAAGTCCCACCAGAGGTTCTCAATCGGATTTAAGTCTGGTGACTGCGATGGCCACTCCAAAATGTTCCAGCCTTTCCTCTGCAACCATGCTCTAGTGGACTTGGAGGTATGCTTGGGATCATTGTCCTGTTGAAAGGTCCAACGTCTCCCAAGCCTCAGGTGTGTGACGGACTGCATCACGTTTCCATCCAATATCTCCTGGTACTGAAGAGAATTCATGGTACCTTGCACACGCTGAAGCTTCCCTGTACCTGCAGAAGCAAAACAGCCCCAAAGCATGATTGACCCTCCACCATGCTTCACAGTAGGCAAGGTGTTCTTTTCATCATAGGCCTTGTTCTTCCTCCTCCAAACATAGCGTTGATCCATGGGCCCAAACAGTTCTAATTTTGTTTCATCAGTCCACAGAACACTATCCCACAACTTTTGTGGTTTGTGTCCACATGGCTTTTGGCATACTGCAGTCGACTCTTCTTATTCTTTGGAGACAGCAAGGGGGTACGCCTGGGAGTTCTGGCACGGAGGCCTTCATTACGCAGTGTGCGTCTTATTGTCTGGGCTGAAACTTCTGTACCCACATCTGACAAATCTTTTCTCAGTTCCTCAGCAGTCACACGGGGACTTCTCTCCACTCTACGCTTCAGGTAGCGCACAGCAGTCGAAGTCAGCATCTTCTTTCTGCCACGACCAGGTAGCGTTTCAACAGTGCCCTTTGCCTTGAATTTGCGAATGATGCTTCCTAAGGTGTCTCTTGGTATGTTTAACATCTTTGCAATCTTCTTATAGCCATTGCCCTTCCTGTGAAGAGAAATCACCTCTTCTCTTGTCTTCCTGGACCATTCTCTTGCCTTCACCATGTTTGTAACCACACCAGTAAATGTCTAGAAGGAGCTGAGTATCACAGTCATTTTAAAGCTGCCTAATTGGTGCTTATTATGCTTGATTGCTGCTCGGTGACATCCACAGGTGTTTTCAATACCTGATGGAAAGCACCTGTATGAACCTCTGTTCTTCAGAGTGGTAGTCTTTAAGGGGTTGAATAATTGTGGCAATGAAGAAACCACATAAGAACCATTTACTACTGTATTACATAAACAATTGATGTCATTTTAGTTGCATTTGGGTAGTTACAACGTCCTTGTAGGATTTGATTCTGAATACAATTCCAAATGTACACTATAGTCCCTAAACCCCTTTACAGCATTGGGGGTTGAATAATTTTGGTCACAACTGTATCTGTCCATGCAGGCACCAGTATGGAGATTGGAAACAACAGTGCTGCAGCAGAAAATGTATATTTTATATAGGGCGCGCTTGTTGGAGCCCAACCTCCTGTAGCTGTAGGATAAAGGTGCCAGATGGATATCAGGGATGGATGGGAGCAGTAACACAGCTGTTTGTACTTTATCACTAGTAGTCCTTTCCTCCAACAAATTTAGGTATATCCCTTCCGTACCCCTGTCTCGCTTAACTACGATCCCTTTTAGTACATCACAAAGGGATAAGGCGATACATAAAATTCACATACTATTATAGCAAGCCCATTTATTAAAATGCGTTTTTTTATTAAAATGCGTTTTTTTATTAAAATGCGTTTTTTCTAACTTTTTTATGTTTATTTTTATAAATTTTTTATTTATGGTACAATCTACCTTTTTTAGTTATCTCATTGATTTACTCATTATTTATTTTCACCTCCATTGTTCTGTTCAATTTATTTTTAGATTTATTTTAATTGTCATTTTCTATTTCCCTTCTATCAAATATGCCATTTTTTTTTTTAGATCTGTTATATATGTATATATACACTAATACTTTTTAACCCAAAAGCATTAGAGCTATTCTCTTGTGTTTTCTTTATTTCTGTTTTTATTTCTGTTTTTATATCTTTTTTTTATACCTGTATTAATTCCTGTACGATGCAGGAAAACATGTAGGTCCTTAGGACCTACATGCCTCCCTCCCATTCGCTTCACACTTTATAAAAAGGTCTGGGTTCTACTGGGGCTTAGGTTTGAAGAAGGAGCCTATTGAGCATTGATGCAAATGCATTACCGCCCCCTTCACCTCCTACATCCGACTGCTCTCCTAGCTTCATTTTGATGCACAGGCACATCCTGCACTCCACTTCCTGATCCTATAGACAGTTTGCTGCTGGATGTCCCACATGGATCTAATTACCACACGATGAGTCTTTTTAACTTTTTATCTTTAAGTGCAATTTATCCATTGTTTACTAAATAAATTGTCAATACTGCACTTAGAAGTGCCTTCCTCTCTTTTTCTGGGAAAGCAGGATAGTCCACTGGACCATCATGCGCTGGATCTTGACTACTTGTTTGGCTAATAAAGAGATCCACCATTTCCCTATCCAGCAGGGAAGAAGCCTGAGAAACATGGCCTGGAGATAGTGTTGCGACCTGTGAGGGGGACCTGACAGGGCTAGGGAGGGAGCCAGGGGGTGCTGGAAGGTCATTCACAGGAGGGCTTGGCCTTCTGTGGCTGTTGCTGTGTTCCCTCTGGAGCTAGGGAGGTCTGGGAGCTGGCGCCGTACACCATCGTGCCTCCCCTTGTAGCAACACGGGATCCACCTGCGGACTTTCTGGCCAGTTGGGTCGGCATGAGAGGAATCTCCATCCTCTCAGCAGTCGGCCCAGGTAGGTATCCGGGGGTAGGTGTGGGCTGGAGCCACTGTAATGTGTCCCTAAAGTGCCAGGAATGTGTGGAGTGGTCAGCGAGGCATCCGCTCCCTCCGACCACCTGCGCATGTGCTCTAACATCGCCCAAAATTTTAACCCCTTCCTGCCCAGTGTCATTAATACAATGTCAATGCTTTTTATTAGCATTGCTCACTGTATTCGTGTCACTGGAGATGTCAGTGGCCATTCAGTTCCCACCCAGTGTAAAAAATGCCCGCCGCAGTCCTGCTATAAGTCGCTGTTCGCCACCATTACTAGTATAAATAAATAAAAATTCCAGTATATATAACGCCATTTGTAGACGCTGTAACTTTCACATAAACCAATTAATTTACACATATTGGGATTTTTCTAGCAAAGACATGTAGCGCAATACATTTTGGCCTAAATTTATGAAGAAATTTTATTTTTTTACAGGATGTGTTTTTATAGCAAAAAGTAAATTTTTTTATTTTTTATTTTTTTTTAAATTGGCGGTTTTTGTTTCTAGCGCAAAAAATAAAAACCGCAGAGATCATCAAATACCACCGAAGGAAAGCTCTATTTGTGAGAAACAAAATGACTTCATTTATGTACAGCATTGCATGACTGCGCAATTGTCAGTTAAAGTAACGCAGCACTGCATCGCAAAAAATGGCCTGGTCAAGAAGGGGGGTAAATCCTCTGGAGGGCAAGTGGTTAATTTCCATAGCCTGGCTAAAGTTACACTTTAGGGATATGATCTCATAGTGAGTCTGGCACTGTTAACCTTACTGATATATTCTGTTGTGCTTTTGGTTAATTTATGTATAGACACTCTTTTTGTAGTATTTAGTTTGCCTTTCACTGTATATGTGTGTTAAAATACTTTGTTGTACAGTGTTTATGTAATTCTCTCTCTTTACTGTGCATATACAGTGTAGTCTGCATATTCATGGCCAGTATAGTATATCACAGAAACTTGCAGTCCCTCTTCCACCAATGTCTGAGCCCAATGCTGTGGGGATTATCATTGCACACGGTAAGTATTCAGGCATGTTTCAACTATTTTTTTTTTTTTTTTTTCCATTAATATGTATTTTGATCCACATTTATTATTTCATTGCAGGCAGTGTGGGGGATGCAGTTTCAGTTGCTAGCCCCAGTGTGTATCTCTCTGATGATGGTGGTTACTTGTGGAATCGTGTACTGGATGGCCCTCACCATTATGCAATTTTAGACTCTGGAGGGCTTATTGTGGCAGTAGAGCAAAGTGAAATCCCTATCAACACAATTAAGTAAGAGAGTGGGGCTTGTGACAATACGATTAGTAAAATGAACTTAATTTTTTTCAAGTTAGTCATTTCAGCCTAATCATTTTAAAATAAATATACATACATACCTGCGCTTTACTGGCAGAACTGTTTTAGCATTTTTTTGAACACATGTTAAAAAGTAATTTTAGGTGTGAAGAAACCCTGAAAAATAAATTGGTGATAGTTCCAGTATTTTGTCACACAGTATTAGAGCAATGGTTTAAAGGCAAATTTTCTGGAAATAAAAAAAAAATTCACTTATTTAATTTTTCACACAGACCCAATGTTTCCCATTTTGGTCAAATATAAAAGATCAGGTTGTGCCAAGTAAATACACACTAACAGCCTTACAATTGTATTTGTGAAATGGCAACAAACTGATTCTCAACAAGTCAGATGTAAATGGCCAGGCGTTCCACTTACATCCAACCGCCCATAGAGAAAAGCAGACTGTGTGCATGTCCGCTTTGCATAAATGGAGTGGACACGAACCTGTCATCCGCCTGCTCAGTGGCGATCCACTGGCGGAGTATGCCCGTGTGAAAGGAGACTAAGCCTGGGTCCACACCAATGCGGTGCAGGACATCGCATGTAATTCGCACAGGAATCACACTGCATTCCTGTGCGAATTACATGCAAATGTCTGTGCGGTGCGATGTAAGCCATACAAAATTTTGTATGGCTCAAATCACATCTGCCCCAGAAAGCTGCAGGACCTTTTTTTTTTTTTTTTTTTTTTAAATCCGCATCTGAATCACATGGGTGTTCTCACCCATGCAATGCAATTTCTGGCAATCGCGTCACATCTTGAGATCTGTTTCAGGGTGCCATTAATTTATCATTGACACCCGCACCAGATTGCATGAACGCCATGAGATTGCGGTGCGGGAAACGCACAGGATTCTCAGCATTTCCAACACCACATGTGTTAACTCGGGCTAAGAGTTCTATTGATTTCTTTTATGGCCAGCTATTTCCCATCTGTAGTGGTATATACTGTAAGATATCATGTACTTATTATCAGCATGTAACTTTTTCACATCTGTATAGCAGCATTTTATCAGAATTTCTCATTTTTGTTTGTTTTGTCATACATCTGTGTGCATTTCCTCTTACAGGTTCTCAACTGATGAAGGGCAATGTTGGTTAGCCTACAATTTCTCCAGTCAACCTGTAATATTCACTGGTTTGGCCTCGGAGCCAGGGGCACGTTCACTGAATGTCACTGTGTGGGGGTATGAGCCAGGATTTTTTCAAAGAGTTTGGAAGTCCTACACAATTGACTTTGCTTCTATACTAAATAAGAATTGTGAGTATGAAAGTGTTCTTATAGCTCACCTGTTTCTGAAAATTATCATCCAGAACCAAAAACTGACCTTTCCTTCAAATTACTTTCTGTTACAACAAGATATATATTTTTTTCTACTTTATGAACATCTACATTTTCAAAAAGGTTTTAAACTTAAAAAAGTGTTTTTATCACAATTTTTATAGTGCTTGTGATACTCAGGAACATTAGATATGCTCACAGCAGAGAAATAGTCAATATTTTGGGAAGTGCTAAAAGTAGGTTTGCTTTTAACCACTTCAATACCAGGCACTTTTACCCCCTTCCTGCCCAGAGCAATTTTCAGCTTTCAGCACTGTCGCTCTTTAAATGACAATTGTGCGATCATGCAACACTGTACCTATGTGAAATTTTTATCTTTTTTCCCACAAGTAGAGCTTTCTTTTGGTGGTATTTAATCACCACTCAGTTTTTTTTATTTTTTGCTAAATAAAACAATAACCTGAAACTTTTGAAAAAAAGTTTTTCTTCGTTTGTTATAAATTTTTGCAAACACTATTTATTCATAAATTTACCTTGAAATGTATTCTGCTACATTTCTTTGGTGAAAATACCCCAAATTGGTGTATATTATTTAGTCTGTAGGAAAGTTAGAGTCCACAAACTATGGAATCTATATGTGACAATTGATCAACCCTGATGTACTGACGGCCCATCTCATTTCTTGAGGCCCGAAAATGCCAGGATAGTACAAATACCCCCCCAAATTGCCAATTTTTGGAAAATACAGTTTAAGGTATTTAGTAAAAGGCATGGTGAGTTTTTTGGAGGTTGTAATTTTTTGTTACAATTTTTTGGAAAATGTAGAAATAAAAAAATTCAATATTTTTTTTTTTTTAACATATTGTCACAAGTCCAGTACAGCGTTATTATATAACCGTTGTGGCAGTGATCAGAGACACTAACTGGTGACAATATGTAAAAAAAAATATATAATATATTTTTTTTTATTACATTTATTTTTTCTTTTCTTTTTTTTCAACATACTGTGACCAAAGCAATACATTGTTGCCATAGTAACATTGAACTATTCTGGACAAGTGATCAGGATTTTTTTTTTAACACATTGATTGCTAATACCAGTGTACCGTAATTAATTGATATTTGCAATCATTGTTACTGAATTAAACTGATTTCATTCAGTCTCTTGTGATAAGCTGTGATTGGGCAAAGCCCATCACATGATACAGATGGGCTTTGATTGGCCCTCTCTGTATCATGTGACTGCTTTGACCAGTCACAGCTAACATAATTGTGTACAATGGATGGCATGACAGGAAGCCATCCAGTTGTATACAATTGACATGCGATCTGCTGTGATTGGTCACAGCAGTCACATGACACTGGCAACAGGCTGGTGCAGTGATATGTCATCGGCTGGCTCGTTTTGACAGGACATCATATGTCGCCCAGTCATAACGAGAAGTGTCCCGTCTGGCAGTCAATCTGCTATAGGCCGGGCGGGAAGGTGTTAATACAACTGAGTTAGAGGTATGTCCTGAAGGGGCTGTTGGACAGGTTCAGGTTTTGTTTTTTTTTTTGGAGGGGGAGGGGATTTGTGCCTGCAGAGGCACTGGGTTTCTGGATGGTTTATAAAAGTATTTTAAACATTTTTAAATGTTTGAGGACAGTTACCAAAACCAAAATACTGAGAAATTATATACCTCATATGAATAAAATGTTAGAGAAACGGGTAATTGTATCTGCAAATTTTAAATTGTGTTCATTAGTGACACTTAAAGAATCCTTATTTTTCAAAAATAATCCACACACAGCCAGTGCTTAATACATTTAGTAATGTATTCGTCATGAAACTTTTTTTTTTTTTTTTTTCTGCCTCTGTAATGTCCTTCATGAGCTCCAGAACTTCATGAGCTCCCAAAGGACTTTAAAAGTTTGGAGGAGGTTGAAAGCAATATAAGCTGTGGTTTTTTTTTTTTTTTTTTTTTTTTTTTTTTACTTTTACTTTTACTTTCATTTTCAATGATAATGGCAAACAGGACAAACAGAGGGTGAATCCCCCTAAAGAGGGCACAGACCGCAATAAAAGCTGACAACTGTTATAATCCCTCTTCACACTGTGCATGGAGCCTTAAGCCTTTTTTTAAGTTTTGGACACTTTTTTTTTTTTTTTTTTTTTTTTTTTTTTTTTAAGGTCCTAGAGGCTAAATATTATCCTATGCAAGGACATTTCTTGTATGTGTGCTACATTTTATCTTTTTTGCTTATATTTGCGATACAGCTATACAGAGTAGCCTTGACACTGTTTAACCACTTCCCCACCACATTACAGCTGATATACGGCTACAGCACGGCTCTCCAGTTGTAAAAGTTTCTCTTGCTAAGTTTCCAAGTTTTTTTTTTTTTTTTTTTTTTTTTTCTCTGGTCTCTTTCGCTTTAACAAAAAAAAACAACTCAGATGTGATTTAAATACCACCAAAAGGCCATATCTGTCTTGAAAAAACATGTCATTTGGAATACAATGTTGCATGACATATATTGGGGCTCGCGTATATGCAGATTAGATTAGGTTTGAACTGCATCCAATCTGCATGACGTGAAAAAACATTGCTTCCTCTGTTGCCTGTTCACAAACGTCTGGTGTACTGGCGGTGCAGATTGAAATAGTCATGTCCGATTTCTGAGAAGTGCGTTCCAATTCAGATGCCGATTACAGGCTCATTTGACTTTTATGGGAATGGGTTCTATATTGCACATGTCATGAGTTTGTAAATACGATTTCAGGCTGAGTTCCTCTCCTGATGTAATCCTGACCTGAACCGCTGAACAAGTACTTTGTCAATTAGCTGTGAAAACGGAGCTTTATTTTGCACTGCACGTGTGTCAATCCAGCCTCAGTAATTGTCATTCAGAGTATGACAGCACTGAAATCTGAAAATTGGCCTGGGCAGGAAGGGGTGAAAATGTCTGATATTGAAGTGGTTAAAATATGGGGGAGAATTTGGTAATTTCCATAGTGATGTCTCAGCTGGTGTACAGTTGCAAGAAAAAGTATGTGAACCCCTCGGGATTACGTGGAGTTTTGCATGAATTGGGCATAAAATGTGCTCTGAACGTCATCTAAGTCACAACAATAGAAGAACAGTCTGCTGAACATAATACTACACAAACATTAGATGTTGCCATGGTTTAATTGCACATAACATGTAAACATTCACAGTGCAGGGAGGAAAAAGTATGTGAACCTTTGGACTTAATAACTGGTTGACCCTCCTTTTGGCAGCAATAACCTCAACCAAACGTTTTCCTGTAGTTGCAGATCAGACCTGCACAACGATCTGGAGTAATTTTGGACCACTCCTCTTCACAAAACTGTTTCAGTGTAGCAATATTCTTGGGATGTCTGGTGTGAATCGCTCTCTTAAGGTCATGCCACAGCATTTCAATCGGGTTGAGGTCAGGACTCTGACTGGGCCACTTCAGAAGGCGTATTCTGTGCTGTTGCAGCCATTGTTTTGTTGAATTACTTGTATGCTTTGGGTCATTGTCCTGTTGCATCACCCATCCTCTGCGGAGCTTCAGTTGGCGGACAGATGGTCGTACGTTTTCCTGCAAAATGTCTTGATAAACTCTGGAATTCATTTTCCCATCAATGACAACAATCCGTCCAGACCCTGAGGCAGCAAAGCAGTCCCAAACCATGATGCTCCCTCCGCCATGTTTTACAGTGGGGATGAGGTTTTGATGTTGGTGTGCTGTGCCTTTTTTTTCTCCATACATAGTGTTGTGTGTTCTTCCCAAACAACTCAATCTTGGTTTCATCTGTCCACAGTATATTTTGTCAGTAGTGCTGTGGAACATTCAGGTGCTCTTTTGCAAACTTCAAACGTGCTGCAATATTCTTTTTGGACAGCAATGGCTTCCTCCGTGGTGTCCTCCCATGTACTCCATTTTTGTTTAATGTTTTCCTTATTGTAGATGTGTCCACAAAAATGTTAGCATGTGCCAGAGATTTCTGTAGGTCTTTAGCTGACACTCTGGGATTCTTCTTTACCTCATGCAGCATTCTGCGCTGTGCTCTTGCAGTCATTTTTACAGGACGACCACGCCTAGGGAGAGTAGCAACAGTGCTAAACTTTCTCCATTTGTAGACAGTCTGTCTTACCGTGGACACATGAACATCAAGGCTTTTGGAGATACTTTTGTAACCCTTTCCAGCTTCATGCAAGTCAACAATTCTTGATCGTAGGTCTTAGAGCTCTTTTCTGCAAGGCATGGTTCACATCAGACAGTGCTTCTTGAAACCAGTAAACCCAAAACAGTGTGTGTGTTTTTTAGGGGCAGGACAGCTGTCAGCAACACATCCAATATCATCACACTGATTGGAGTCAAGGTTTGCTCACTCCTGGCTCTAATTAGCTCTGGGAGAAGTCATTAAGCTAGGGCCTCACATACTTTTTCCTCCCTGCACTGTGAATGTTTACATATGTGCAATTAAACCATGGCAACATCTAATGTTTGTGTAGTATTATGTTCAGCAGACTGTGTTCTTCTATTGTTGTGACTTAGATGACGTTCAGAGCACATTTTATGCCCAATTCATGCAAAACTCCACGTAATCCCAAGGGGTTCACATACTTTTTCTTGCAACTGTACATGTTCCCCATTTGTTTGGAATGTCATAGAACAGGGGTCCTCAAACTACGGCCCGTGGGCCACATGCGGCCTGCCGAGGCCATTTATCCGGCCCGCCAGCAGGGGCGTATTTGCCGTGAGGAAGGGACACTAAACGAAGTACAGGGGCAGGCAGAGGGCTGCTGTATCTTACCTGGCTCCGGTCCCAGTCCCACAACGATCCAGTCCAGGAAGCGCGCTGCTCCTTCATTCACTCTGGCCACTCCCTCACTTAATGTTCATGCTGCCGCTCGGCTCCGCCTCCTCACCGGTGATTGGGCGCCAGAACTGTAGCTCAGGAAAGGCACACAGGCGGCCAATCACCT